CGCGGGATGATGTTACACATGAATGTCCCAAAAAGGTTTTGGGTGGATGCTATACTTGCAGTTGCATATGTCATCAACCGCATGCCCTCCAGAGTACTGAACTACATGGCCCCTCATCAGTTATTGTACCCTCAGTCTCCTTTATTTTCCATCCCCATGAGAGTTTTTGGTTGTCGGGCCTTTATCCATGATTTGTCTCCATCCCGAGGAAAGTTAGACCCTTGGTCCATTCCTTGTGTCTTTCTGGGGTACCCCTCCTCTCAAAAAGGGTATCGGTGCTTTGAYYCAGTTAGTCRTAAATTTTTTGTGTCTATGGATGTGTCCTTCTTTGAGTCCGAGCCATTCTTCCCTCCTTCTCCTCGGGGGGAGAATCATAGTGTGGAAAAGGAGAAGCAGGTTCAGGTATCTCTTCCTTCTATTCCGGACCTTACTCCCTTCCATGTCTTCCAACGTACGCTTCGGAAAGATCAGTGGTGTGATAGAGATATGGAGCAGCCAAACACTGAGCAACTGACATCATCAGACTCCAAGGAGGTAAGTCCACCCCCTAACCCTACTCCTACTGTGGATGACCTTGACATTCCTATTGCCCAACGAAAAGGAGTCAGGTCCTGCACTACCAAACACCCCATTACCCACTTTGTCTCCTATGACCACATTTCCCACTCGTACCGAGCCTTCCTATCGGCAGTTGATTGCATCCTTGTTCCCAAAAATGTTGCAGAAGCCTTAAAATGCCCTGAATGGGTAGATGCCATGAAGGAGGAGATTAATGCCCTCCACAAAAATCAGACTTGGGAATTGGTGGATCCTCCAAAGGGGATAGACCCCGTGGGGTGCAAATGGGTGTTCACAATTAAGCACAAGGCAGATGGAACAGTTGAAAGGTACAAAGAAAGATTAGTAGCCAAAGGGTACACACAAGTATACGGGGTCGACTATGATGAAACTTTTGCCCCAGTGGCTAAGATGAACTCAATTAGGGTTCTCCTCTCCTTAGCTGCTAATCTTGACTGGGAATTGCATCAACTGGACATAAAGAATGCTTTCCTGAATGGTGACTTAGAAGAAGAGGTATACATGGTTCAACCTCCTAGATTTTGTGCCAAGGGAAGTGAAAATAAGGTGTCAAGCTACGAAAGTCTCTCTATGGCTTAAAACAGTCTCCCAGAGCCTGGTTCAGTAAGTTTCACATGGCAGTTCAAGAGATGGGATTCAAACAATGTCAGTCTGGTCATACACTCTTTGTGAAGAGATGTCAGGAACAAGTTCCTGTATTGATAGTGTATGTAGACGATATCATCATTACAGGAAGTTGGAGCTCAGAGATACAGAACTTGAAGCAATTCCTTGCATCTAAATTTGAAGTGAAAGATCTAGGTCTCCTGAAGTATTTCCTTGGGATTGAAGTTGCCCGCTCAGAAAAGGGTACCTTTGTCTCTCAAAGGAAATACACCCTTGATCTATTACGGGATATGGGTAAGTTAGGTGCAAGGCCGGCAGATACTCCTATGGATGTGGACCACAAGCTAGGTGACTGTGTTGGTGAACCTCTGAAAGATGTGAAGCAGTTTCGAAGGTTAGTGGGAAAGCTGATTTATCTATCCATGACCCATCCAGACATTGCCTATTCCATTACGGTCCTGAGCCAGTTTATGCACTCTCCTAAGAAGCCACACATGGAGGCAGCAGAGAGAGTCCTTAGATACTTGAAGAAATATCCAGGAACADGCCTACTATWHAGYAAACAYAATCACCTAAAGGTGGAAGTCTTTACAGATGCTGATTGGGCAGGAGCTGTGGATGATAGAAAGTCCACTAGTGGGTATTGCACATTTGTGGGAGGAAATCTGGTGA